AAACTTAAAAATTTCACAATTTTGGCCACCACTGTATATATCGTGCAAATAAAACAACATGGATGACACAAGCGTTAATGAATGATTTGTTTGAAAATCATCTCATACCTGAGGATCGGCAACAATTGAATTCGGTTGGTTTACCTAATGATGAAAAAACTGCACTGATTGTATAGATAACTGTGCTGCTCACACTTCAATAACATCTAAGTGAAAGGTAATATATCCGTATTATTCTTTTCTCTCCAAACTGCACGTCCATCATATAGCTTATGGATATCAGAATAGTATGTGCACTGAAATGCAAGTATAAAATAGCATTTTTAAAATCCATGTTAAATTTCTTGAATAATGGCAAGACTATTCAAGAATATTTTAGTATAAAATCTGAGGTGTGGAGCATCACAAAACCACGGGAGGATGTGTCTCCAGATACATTAAAAGTGCTTGGCATAACTTAATGGCCACCTACCAACACTACCAACTATGATAAAACAGATATAAAACAGATTTTTTTTTATTGCAATGAAACCTCAATCATGAATCAATGAATGGATGGCAAAATCTGCAGTGCTAGGTATAATTTATGACCACCTACCATATTAATGGACGGCGAAATCTGCAGCATGGTTCTAAATCCAGAAAACACCACTACCAACAGAGAGGTTTTTGAAAACGAAAAAATTTTGATTGACAACTTAGTCGGAATGCTTGACACAGCAATTGCAGGACTTGAACAATGGAACTTTGTAACTGAACAAGAAATTATGTATGTCTATCGAATTAAAGAGAAAATATTAGCACAAAAAAACAAAGCAACTTAAACAACTTACATTGAAAGAAATGTTTAATAAAGTAAACAAATAAACAGTAAGCTTCTTTTTTTTTTTTTTTTTTGTAAATGTTGATACCCTTTAGATCATAAATGCTTCATATTTTCATAAATGACAACTTCATTTTATAATTTCTAAAAGCCATCTTTACTAGATTAAAACTGATGATCTAATATCTGGAAAAATCAGGAATTCTCGAAGTCCCAATGAGTCTGGATCTCAGACTTTGCACTGTGCTGTTGTTCTAAGTGCTTAACAGGATAAGAAAAAGGGTTTTCCACATTCAAAAGGTGTTTGCTGCTACCTGCCTGTTGTTGCACCAAGACAACACTCCCAACTCCACCGCTCTGTGCATCCAGGAGTGCCTAGCCAAAGAATGTCTATGTAAAGAAGGAAAGGCTCCATAAACGTAATGTAAACCAGTTCGTCTTCTACACCGCTAGAAAGAAGAGAGAAAATTCGCCAAGGGACTTGGCGACGGAAGCTGTTGGTGAGAATTCCCCCCTTTGTGATGTACCGGGCCTGGCCAAGAGTTTTCTCCTCCGCCACGTGTACAGAAAATTGAGGAACACGGGTTAAGATGCATAAGAAAATTAGGTGAAGTTTCACTTTCACTGGCTGTTGAACTTGCATTATCCATATCACAGTTTGATGTCTGATTTTATATCTATCATTATGGAGGCAAAAAAATAGAGTCACACAGCTTTAAACTTTTGATAAACGTGACAGTCGAACCTGTTCGAAGTTCAACATCAGCTTCAAGCATTGGCGCTTTTTGATGACAGATATTTCGCGCATGTGCAGCTGCTTCCCTTTTTTCCTTGGAAGGGAGCCTTTCCTGCTGCTGCGAAGTTTTCTTTCTTAACAATACATATTCTTTGGCCTAGCCAAGCACAGCATAGCAACAATGCACCAGTTCCCCTACAGTCATGACCTGGTTCCAGCAGACTTCTTTTTGTTAACAGGGATCAAGACTGCCCTGAAAGGAGTCCATTTGGAACCACTGAAGAGATCCAAACTGCCATGATAAAAGCTCTAAACATGGTTCCTGTCAAAGGCTTGCTGGATGCATACTGTGGATGTCACCTGCAAAAGTGTATGGATATGCCCAAGGAAATTTAAACGTAATGATATCTTGAATATATATTTTCTTTTAACCAAGTCCATTTCATTACTTTCCGGACAGATCTTGTATGATGAGAATTCAATAGAGTCCTTTAAATACTGCAGATGTGAAATTTGCTTCTTAATCATGTTGACTAAGAGGCACGCTAAACACTAAATCAGAAACCTAGTTTTCTACTATAGCTTATGTGATAAATGCACTTGTTGTTCTTAGTTGTACTATGTAAAATTTTGAATATATCCAGAGCAGGCCTTTTGAATGTTCATACAATATAGCACTGTAATCTACTTGTGTACTTCTTAGTGAGCCTTTTTGAGCTTCACATACATTACAGGACTTACACCATTTTTCTACGCATGTTTTGGCCTAGTCTCAAAAAAAATATTGCATATTTTATGGGATTCCTTTGTTACACCGAAATGACCTCCAGTGGGACTACTGTGCAACTCTGCAGAACACTAAAGACTCTGAAGCTTGGTAAAATGAACTGCCATCTGAACCTAATTTTCTGTTCTGTTCTTTTTTTCTGCTAACAGGGTCCCACTTGCAGTACAAAACTTTTTCTCACAGGAGAAAGTAATGTCATAAAGCCTAATATCTTTTCATTGCCAAACTAAAGCATGCCATTTCTTGCCAGCTGGGATTTTCATTCATTGTTCGCCTTAATACTGTTATTGGTCTCAATTCAATATTGTACACTAAGACCTTTCTTAGTTCTTTTGCTATGTCAGAGATCAGTTTCTGATACTATGGCACCTGTGTTAATTTCTTTTACCACTAGAACTAAGCCATACTTTTCTTCAGCTTTATATATAAAGGCTTTCTTAAAACTGCATGAGCATTTCCATGCAAAATTTCTGTTTGACGTCCATTTTCTGTACCATATTCCTATAGGTGATGTATCCATTTAGTTACTTGGCTCTCCAAATTTTTTTAAGTAGTGAACTTAATAAGGCATTATTGGAGGGCAGAAGGAATTTACAGCCATACAGATAGATAATGAAGAAATTTTTTACTGCCTTTACAATGACGAACAATTCTTTTCTAACAATACAGTTAATTCCTTTCTGACTTTGAAATGTTTTTACCAAAATAGACAATAACATGCTCTTGGGTGCTAATTTCTTGCAAAAGAAAAATTCCTTCATTGCTAGTATCTTTATCAAGAATAAAATCATACTCAGGTTCAGATAAGATAACACAGGAGCAGAAGTCAAAATATCCTTCAAGGTTTAAATGATTTTTCACAGTTATACTTCATAAAAACGTTTGTTTAGTTTCACTCACACAATAGGCTTTATAATTTAAGAAAACTTCAATAGTATGTGCAGAAACCAAGAAAACTTCTTAACTAATTAATGTTTTGAGGTCAACATCAGTCATGAACAGCTTTGATTTTCTCAGAATCAGTGCGTATTCCTTTGGCAGAGAACTTTAAATTAGCTTCTAAGAGTCTCTGTAGCACTTTTTAGAAACATTTTTAAGATGTTTCTCTAAAGTATACCTAGCTAGAATTATGTTATCAAGATACACAAAATAGGCAAAGATTTTTCAATAATGTCATTGCCTTGCATCTCCTCAAGAAATTTCCAACTTCCTCTTGTTTTGTGAAGGGAAGACACTAAAGATGTTGCTTAATAAGCAAATAACTTTCAATGGCAATCCAGTGTTGTGTCCCATTCATGTGACTGACATCATTAGATGAAGTTGAATATTCATCTTAAATTCTTCTCATAAACAAACTGCAGCTTAAAATTGATTAAAATTTTTTTCTGCAACTGCAGTCAAATCTTTTAATTTAGGTGGATTCTGAATCTGATTGATAGCATTTTGAACAATACTTGTCACAAGGAAACATGAAGCAATTTCCTCTCCTTTTATAAAAGTGCATAGCTTGTTATTTATGCTTGCAGCTCTGGCAAGCACATTTTATTTTGTTATAGTTTTATGATATTTATAATGCATGACACATTTCCTTTTAATTCTCACTTTGGACTATATGATACTGTCTTTTCATTTTTATTTTCTCTTTAAAATGTCAACCATTTTTAATTTTCACTCATTTGGAAAATAAACAGTTTCTTTGCAATATCATTCATTCATTCTAATACTTTATATTTGTAGTACAGCAAAAGCCCAAATATCCAACATTCAATTAACCAGAAGTAACTGAAATATTTTAGAATTTTAGAAAAAAATTATTAAATGAGAGATCTGCAATGCCATTATAACATTTCTAATACTATTAACATTTAGGTATTTTCACCAAACAGTATGATTTAGCATCAATAATGAATAAACATGGTATCACAATACAATCACAAATAGTTCATTTTGGTTTAATGTGAACTCAATTAATTCTCACTTAGCCAGTTTAATTTTTTTAAATCCGGCAACAGATGACACTACCTTCTTATTTGCTCTACTTCTTTCGGTTATAAATACACAATGGTTTTTCCTTCATTGCAGATTTCTTTGCCCTGATGAAGAGAGACCTGCACCTATTAACCCTTGAATCGACAGTCTTGACTGAAATCTATGTCACAGATGAGGCTGTTTTTGCTTAATTTTATGTTTTACTTTTACATGTTTATCTTCCATCTTGATTTTGACTTTTTTCTGAAGTGGGGTTACTAATAGGAAAGTTAAAACACATCTCAGATTTTTAGAAAATTTTCTTATTTTACATGCTATTTACAGGTTATCGTTTCAAACTTAGTTTTGCCTCAGATTATATTAATTTTCACTTGTACATATCTTTCATTTATGCATAATTTTTATTAATTATTATTAGCAGTAAAACTTAGCAAGTCGCATGAATTTGTAAAGTGCATTTCCAGGGACTGTCAAACGTTAGCATGGCTATTTAAATATTAGTGAGCTAAGAGAAAACGCATCTTCCTAGTACAGTATATAAATTCAGATTACCTTTCAAAGCAGCATAAAAGTGTATTTAAATGTGGAATCATGATTAGATAGATTTAAAAACATGCATGATAAACAAACAGTAGCATTAAATATAAAAAGACAAAATTACTTACTTCATTTTTATTACTGTCAAAGCTTTTATGAATTTCATGACACTGATAAGAATTTAAATTACAAGATGCTTTACTATGAGTCTGGGTAGCTTGACTTTCAAGTAAATCAAATTCATCAGCAGTTATATCATCTTGGCCCCATAGGTCATCATTTGCAAGATTTCCAGATTTATCAGGTAAGTCAAGACGAATTTTTTTATTGGGATTCTCCTTTGCTTCCATATTTGATGATGTCAATTTTTCATTACATGGAAACAGATATCCCATGTCTTTTAAATCTGCATTAAGCTGAAATAAACAACAGTTACTTGAAAAATTATAAAACTGCACAAAAATGTGAAAACAAACATTAAATCTAAACATACAAATACAGTAGAGCTGCCCTAAAATCACCAACTATGGTTATATGATTTTGTTATTTAGTTAGGATAACCATTCATTCCAGTTGTGCATCCCGCACACATACACATCGTGAAATTACAGAGTTGTGAAAATAAATTTAATTTCCATACAGATTTTCAAAGCCTTAAGTTGGTGGCATACGCCATATAATGAAATGTCATAAGAAGCACATTTTTATGTGTGAAAAGTGCTATATCACCAATGGTGTTGGCAATATGACAACTTGCCCTCGATGCGAAGACAGCATGGAACTTTTCTACCAATCGCTAAACTGACTTGGTCTACAGTGCAACTGGCATCATCCATATAACTAATAAATCACTGAACTTAACTAGCACATCTCTTATTGCACAATCCTAAATTTGCATGTTCATAGCAACATGGTCAGGAATCGGCTTTTTAAAAGGCCAACACACAAGAAGGTTGGCCAACATTCCTTCATGACTCTTCATATACACATTCCATGACATCTGCCGTCCGAACCACTTAACATCAGTAAACAAGTTGTTGACATCAGGAGTACACATACTCCCAAAGTCATCAACTTTGTCCTCCAACTACTATTACCTCCAAATACATATATCTCATTAACTAAATCCAGTGCTACCAGTAAGCATTTGTAGAAATTAGAAAAACAAATTGTATTTTTTACTATTAAAGTATAATAGTTTAATTTTTTAGTACAATTACTAAAATTTTCTGAATTGAATTTTTTAAGAATCCTTCCAAATAGCGGGCAAAAAAAAGAAGTTGCAAATTTAGTGACGATATGACAAAAGAACTTCCTTTTATAAAGTGGATAAAAATTGTTTCTAATGTTCACTGCATTCAATGCCATTCAACATTTTCAGTTACTTATGATGGGTAAAACAATGTTACACAACATACTGAGTCTAAAAAACATAAGGCAAATCAAGCAACAGCACCTTCCCATAGTATCATGTAATAGTTTTCTTTTAAAAATGAATTTGATGAGGAGGAATGCTTGCACTGAATAAAGCAGTATTTTAATTCCATACAATTGAGCACAATCAGCCATTTAGATCTATCAATTGTACATCAAACTTAATCACAGTATTTTTCAAAAAAAAATTATTGTAGAAGAAATGGAGGCAATAGTTAAAAATATGATAAAATCCTTCACAATCTCCATTCTGAGTATGAAATTAGAAAACATCGACTTTATAACACAGATACTTCAAACTGCAAAGATTTAAAATTATTTCTGAGCCTCATTAGATATAGTTTGACCACAAAGAAGGTGTGCAAGTCAAAATTCCAGATTTAATCACTCTTCCTTTAGAAACATTGGAAATAATAACCAAGTCCATTACTAATATGCTCGATTCAAACAACTTGACAAATAAGTTAGCGGTATATTGTGCAGACAACACCAATTCAAATTTTGGAGCTGTTAACAGAAAATGAACAAATAACATATTTTCTCATATTTTAACTAATAATCATTTAATTTATACTATAATTGTAGTAGGCTATACAGCATACATAATGAACAATGGAGTTCTAATTGTATCAGATTTGGCTTCCTGTAGGTATTAAAAGAATAACTAGCAAACTTTATAGTAACTTTTACGATTTGAGCAGAAAATCTAAAGAATGTTTGTCCTGATACAAAGGGGCAGAATACAAGTAATTACTAGGGATATCCAAAACAAGATGGCTAATTCTACTACCTGTAGTTATACAACTGAGTTTAATAACTGTTTAATATTTTAAAATAATACTCTCTTTTAACTGATAAGTGTCCAAAAGTTTAAAAAAATTTCATTTTAAATGAACAAGCCAAACTTTGACTTCATTTCCTCCAAACACAAGCATCAGTGTTTCATAATTCAGTAAAAAGAATGGAGAAAAGGAAAGAAACACTATCAATATTTAGAAGAAATTAATGATCTTATTTTAAAAAAAAGAATTGATTCTAAGTTTCCATCATCAAGTTTAAACGATATTTTAAATAATATAACTGAAAATGGAAATATAAACCAGAAATGTTTCATTAATCAAAGTAAATTTTTATATGAATATTGCTTCTTAACTAAATGTCAAATAGATTAGACCAGCACAGAAGAAATAATAGTTTCTATGAAAAAATATTTGCCTCAAAATGAATATATAACACTGGAAAATTTGAGGAAATGTCACATTTGAAAAAAACATGTAAACATTGAAAAATTCAAAAATCGGGATAATGAGACAAATTCTGCCAATAAGTGTCAGATTAAATTTTACATTATTTCAATGAAAATTACGTTCCTTGTACACATCTCACAAAAACTATAAAATGCATGCTTTGCTTACCTGGTACCAATGCAGCTACTCAAAGGGTATTTTACTATTATTAATCCTTTGTGGACAGCAGAAAAATTGCAGCTGAATGTTGATACTGTGAAGGCAATGATTACAATTAAGAGCAATTTTGGGTGATTTTGAGTCTCAAAGTTCAAAGAACAAATTGAAAATCATGATGAACTATTTAAAAAGTCAAAATAAAGCTTTAAAAGTCAAGGAACTGTGTCAAAATACAACTAATGATTTGTATTAATTATTCATACTTTAAATAAGTTTTTTTTATGTATTTTGTATGTAACATTTTAATTTTTTTATTATTACTTTTTGGTTGATTTGAGGGAGGGGATTATGTTCCAGATTGGATCATGAAAAAAGTGCCTATAATGGAAAGAATCACCCTATCTTTAGTGCAAATAGTGACCTGACCGAGATGATAGTCAATATCATTGTTTACATTAAAAGCAACAAGTCGTTTTCTAGGGTACTTGCCACCACAGGTTTTGCTGTCTGTGAAAACATGCAGCACTTACAGATATGATAAAATTTGCTCTTAAAATATAGAAATGAATTTAAAAAGAAAAAACTTTTGACAAATGTAATTTAATTATATCATTTCAAAGGTTTAAATTCGGCTGGAGCGAACAAGAACTCAACTCCAGTATTTTTAAGCTCTTGAGCAAAATTATAATTCCAGGTGAAGAAAGAGGAGATCCAGGACTTCCTTATATAAATGAAGTGCAATATAAACATAAAACCTGACTACTATAGACGAGATTTTTTTTTTTTTTTTTTTTGACAGTTAGTAAAAGTTGCATTAATACTAATTTCTAAAAAGATGCCTCACTTTCCCTCAGTAGAACAAAATAGGCTCAAAAAGTTGGACACTAGAATAACAAATGCATGAATATGAAATGTTACCACTTCAGGAAAAGGGATATTTATGGTGTCTACTCATATAACCAAGAAATCTTTAAACAAATTAAAAGTCGAAATACATTTATCTGGCCACAGAGGCTACTATTTAAAATTTACTTTTATACAGTCAAAAGTCTTTAATCCGGACTCATCGGGACTTCGGGGATTCCGGATTATCGATTTTTCCGCATTATAGATCATCAGTTTAAATCTGGTAAGATGGCATGCAGAAATTATAAAATTAAAAATATGAAACCGTAATTTATAAAATAATGAGCAATTATGATCTAAAGGGTATCAAAATTTACAAAAAAAAAGTTTAACATTTATTTGTTTACTTTATTAAACATTTCTTTCAATGCGCACATGTGTAAAGCATACATTACGCATAGCCAAAATTAGAAAATTGCAACCAGAAAACTGATTTGTATTCGTGATATTTATAATGACGAGGAATTTGATTTAAATCATACAAAAGTAGGAGTACGTCGAGATGAAATACTACATTTAGTAACTAATTATAAGCCGAATAAAATAAAAACATCTGCCCTGAAGATAACGATAGTGCTGACGGATCAACTTCCATTTCATTGCATGCCGCGAAGTTCCCCCCCCCCCGGCGCAGAGCAGTGTGAAATTGATAAACAGATTTTGGAATGGTTAGATAAACAAAGGATATGCCTTTATCCATTTTTTGCAGCAATTCCACTTTTTGTTTGATGGACATCGAAACATACTTTCGTTTTGTAGATCCTTTAGGAGCTCCAGCATCGGAAATTCTATTTGACATAATCGAAAGTTCAAGCTTACTTTTATAAAATTGCTCTTACAGTCTGCAAAAAATAATAAGCCGGATCCAATTCGAAGATTAAGGAACAACGCAATCATCAACATTACCTGAAATAGATAATTACATAATTTTAGCTTATGCCATCCGTTACACATTAAACGCACATTCGAAAATGTATTCTGCGCTTGCGTACACGCATATGCGCAGTCATAAAGGTCTTACGTGCATGCATAAACGCCTATGCGCCTGCATCAATGCGGCGCATGCGCAGAAAGTTTTTAGCTTTGAGGTCCGGATTATGGGTGTCCGAATTAACGACTTTTGACCTGTATATACTGTTATCATTAATTTAATCATCTTTCACTTGATTTTATGGCATTATGATACATCATTTTAATTTAGTATTCCTCTAATTATGTTAAAGTATTTTTATTTATCTTTCCATATTTTATTTAATCTTATAATTAATATTATTATTATTATTATTATTATGTATTAATTATTTATTTATTTACTTTTCTTTGTCAATTCTAATGGCTTTTCATAGTGCTCCAGCACATCTGAATATTTAAATCTTTACTGGGCCCTGAAAAACTGAAGTCTTCATTGGGTATCTGATTTCAGATACGACATCATGTTACAGCTATTATCTGTTAGGTACAAGACTAGATGTAGCATACTATGTTGGCATTCCTTCATGTCACCTTGAAAGTCCTTCAAAAGATGACTGAACCAAAGTGAAATGGGTATTCAGAGACATAGCAGGTTCTCTTACTTAAGATGTTACACACAAGAATAAATACAGACCAGGAACAATGAAGTGTTTAGCGATGCAGATTCTGGAGGATGTCAAAAACAGGAAAATCTGCAACTGATATTATAAAGTGTGAAGCTACATCATGGATTAGCTAAAGGTCGTCAGTGTTTGCAACTTTGAAAACTGAAGCAGAGATAATTGCAGCTAGCGAGTGTTCTATGCTCTTATCTACATTCTTTATCCCTCTTTTCTGAAATATTACCTTGTGATTGGTTTTACTGGTTTAATAGAAATTATAGAGATTTCTTGCAAATTTGGCTAATTTTGGATATATGTTCTTTGCTTAGTGATAATGCAGATTAAATGTGCAATGACATGGGCCCCGATTCGAATCCTGGAGAAGGCATGGACATTTGTGAGTATACAGTGTCTCTGGACATTTGTAAGTGTATAGTGTCAACAAAGGGCACTCAAAATACATTGTGAGCTGAAAATGCCTTGAGAGGTTAGTGGTAGGGAAAGACAGGTGGAAGATCCTCGAACTGATTCCTGGGGATATTCTCTCTCAAAACTGGTGTGGAACTGCACAGCAGGACTGTACTTATAACAACCAATCATAAAATTCTGCGTCCCATCCACTTCTACCTGAACCTACTTTTCTAGCGGTAAGACTCGCAGCAGTTTTCTCCATTCCAAATTTTAATCACTTTCTTACTGAAAAAATACAAATTATAGCCCGTGATTTTTAATAGACAGGGTAAATATAAAGGATTTTGAAAATGATTTGCATGATGCAATCAATGCACAACCACTGGCATAATGCCACCAGTTAATACTGTAAATACTTCTCAAGATGGAATAATTTTTAGTCTGATTTTGTTTAAGTGAAAATATATCGACGTGTGCATGGACAAAGTTAAGGCAGTGCGCGATGCCTAGTTTGTGCGATTCTCCGATTTTTTTTTTTTTTTTTTTTTTTTTGTTGTTGTTTTTGTTTTTAAGTGAAAATAGGTAGATATGTACATGGTCACTGAGTTTGTGTAAGTCTTTGACTCTTGGTTTTGTGTAGCTGCCATCTTGAAATTGCCACTGATCTTTGCATCAAAAAAGAAACGATTCGCCAAGGGGTATTGTAGAGTAAATTTTGACCATTTTTTTTTTAATATGAATAAAGAATCGAGTCAAATTACACATTTATGTCATACTGCAAGGGGTGAAATTGTTTGTATCTATTTTTTTTAATAAAAACATATGATTTGGATACTGACTTTGGTACAAGCACCTTGAAAGCACATTGAAAAGGTCTTGATTCAAATCAGATTTTTAATGTCCACAGTAAACCTTTGAGGAAAAAGGGGAAGCATTATATAAAATTATATACTATTTATTGCAAGTAGAAAAGAAATTGTGAAATCAATGTGAATCAAGTCTGAATGAAAGTATGAAACAAGTGAAGAAAGTGTGAAATCAAGTCTTATCCTAAAACTAAAATTATCCGCAGTCGCTTATTAGCTCTACAAAGCCTAGAAGTTAAAGCATTTCAACTACATATAAGCACTAAAAATTTAATTTTGACTTATTCTTTAATGAAAGTGATAACTGATTAAAAAAACATAAGGTTCTATTAATACAATTTTATGAATTGAACTGGGCTAATCTTTAGAATATGGTAACAGGTAGTTTGGCGACATTTTGGTAAGGCGATAAAGGTTACTAGGTAGGACTTTAGCTATAATCTGAGAACTACACAGTTCGAATCACAGATTATTTTGTCTCAGAGAAATGAGAGATCACGAGACATGTCATGTGACATTTTACGGAAAATTCCGATCGTGATTTTAGCTAATAATTAGCTAATAAGCACTTAGAAAGAATTTCGCTGCTAACGTGCAGAATCGCCCACTTATTTGCTTGGCGCTTTTTACAAGAGTAAGAAGAATTGGATTTTTGTCAATTATCTTTGACTTTTTAAGTGAAATTGGTCGATGTGTACATAGATAAAGTCAAGAGTGTGCGCAATGCCATTTTTGTGCAATTCTGAGATGTTTTTTAAGTGAAAATAGGTCGACGTGTACATGGATACCGGTATGTGCGATTCTAAAAACGCGGGAAGCGGTTGTGATTCTGCACTTTCTCCCAATTTCGCACCTAATCTTCGTCATGATTAAGCATTTATGTTCCATAAAAGTTCTAGTATAACGTAATTCGGCTAGCAGATTGCTAGAAAAAATGTTGAGTTAAAAAAAAAAAAAATGCCTTACTTCGTGAAAACAAAATGGCGTCCAAAACAAAACTAGCAGGTTGCTGTAGCAGGGTTGGTCGCCAAATTTTCGCCAAGTTACCATAATGTAAAGATTTACCATGAACTGTTTTATGAGAAGGCTTGACAAAACTTATTTTGGCTAATCTTTGGAATTTGGTAACAGGTAGTTTGGCGACATTTTGGTAAGGCGATAAAGTTTACTAGCTAGGACATTAGCAGTGTACAAAGTCAAGAATGTGCGCAATGCATTTTGTGCAATTCTGCTTTTTTTTTAAGTGAAAATAAGTTGATGTGTACATGGATACTGTGTATGTGCAATTCTTCAAACGCGGCAAGCAGTTTGCCGATTCTGCACTTTCTCCCAATTCGCACTAATCTTTGTCATGATTAAGCACTTTTGTTCCATAAAAGTTCTAGCATAAGCATAATTCAGCTAGCAGATTGTTGGAAAAAAAATGTAGAGTAAAAAAAAAAAAAAAATGCCTTTACTTCGTGAAAACAAAATGCATCCAAACAAACTAGCAGGTTGCTGTAACAAGGTTGGTCGCCAAATTTTCGCCAAGTTACCATAATCCAAAGAGTAACCCTTATTTTTAATAAATTAGTCTTTTTCAAAATATCCAATCATATACCATGAAATTTACTACTCTTCTGTTATCAGGACCAGATTCAGAAATGTATGTATATATATATATGCATGTGTGTAAGGATGTATGTATATATATATATATGCATTTGTATAAGGATGTATGTGTGTATATATATTTATATATATATACGCATGTGTGTAAGGATGTATGTATTCATGTATGCACATATATAAGTATATGTAAGTATGTATAGACACACATTGTGCATGCATACACACATTTCTGAATCCGGTCCCGAAAACAGAAGAGTACCTGGAATTCTGATAGCAGCTTCTGAATATGAATAAGGATAACTTCAGGAATGTCAATCTTTAACATTCAGAACTCAGATTTACATTATAGCTTCACCACACATCAAATTTCAAAAAGATTTAAAAATTGCAAAATAATAACATAAAAAATAAATAAAGAATAGTAAAGTTCTTAAATTACAAAACTAACTGGAATCGAGCTTCAAAAGTTCACAAATTCATGAACAATGAAATATTTTTGAAAAATTTCTGCGGAAAAGAATATTTTTACTTCTTGGAAGAAAAGGGAGGAAGGCCTACATCAGTTTCCTTTAAAATGCTGTAAACCACATTATCTGTAAACAAATATCAGTAACTTTGCTTAATGTTAAGTTTCGAGCTAGCATGCGTCTCAGCAGTACATTTGTCCCCTTTTTACAGTAATTTTAAAGCTAACAATATACTTAAAATTTCTGTGTTACAGTCATATTATTTAATATAAATGACATTGGCTATATCAAATTAATAATTTAAAAAATTAATGCAATTTTTAATTAATTCCTTAATTAAATATACATTTAATATTTAATCTTATTTATATTTCAGTATGAGGAATTATCTCTTCGGTTTTTATATCAAATACAAATATGAAACCTGATATAAAATTTGGCTGAAATGCTTAGTTAATTCTTAACAGTTATATTGATATAATAAAACCTCTATCAATAACAATATCAAATTGATTTTTCTCAACATGAGTCACACTGTGCATCTAATAATACCTGCACAATATTATACAATACCTGCACAGAATACGATTTTATCTGCTTTAAATTCATAACAATCCCCATAAACATACCTTTCTTAATGTCTTCTACAGTTACCCAATTTACATGTTTAATACTAATGCACATAATTTTTTAATTTAAAATATATAAAAATGTAATTGCAATTAACTTTGCTAATGAAATATTTAACAAGAATTAACCATCATTTTCATCAACATTATTTATTAGTTTCAGGGGGAGGGAGAATGTAAATCAAATTAATTCCTCTTCATCAATAAAAATTTAAAATTATTCTACCATCAGGGGCAAAGATAGTATACACTCCCAACATTCTTCAGAATAGAGAAATATAATTTTATGCTATTACTAGAAAAGATTATTAATCTCAATATTGAAGTTATTAATATAATAATCACACGTGTCAAAATGTCGGGAATTTTATTTTACTTGTCGTAAAATTTAGAAGTTATTCATAATAAATGTTCCAGATTACTTATATACAGCTAAGGAAAATCCTAATAGATATATAACATCCAACTATATCTGGTGACGCATTCTTGTCTCACCACATATAATTTATAAACAACAAAAAATTATCATTTCTAACACCGAGATTTATTTCCGAAGTTTTACGAGTTAGCCAACTGCTTGAAGTTCCCCGACTTAGAAGTTAGCAAATCACTTTTTGCACAAAAGAGGGAAAGGAAATGTATATGATAACCATCTTAATTACCCAAACTTGGCGTGGTTTGCATCTGCAATGTTCTTGTCCCTCCAGCCCACTGCTTGGCGATTGTTTTTCAATGGGCAATAAATGCGCCAAAATAGCTAACCCAATGTTTAGAAAGTTTGTTTAGAAGCTGTGTTGTTATTCTGTTGCCATTAGATGTTATCGCCCTGTGTTATATTTAAAGAAATTAAATATTGAAAAATCTGCATAAATGTTTCTCGCATTGTGATAAAACAACGGTACCTAGAGCCATCAAATTTTGCATAACATACGTTTCCAACCTAATATGGGCATCTGAAAGCCCAAACTTGGAATTTTTTTTATTATCTGATTGATATTTTGTAAAACTTGAACGAATTTTTGATTAGCAAACTCAAAGATTTCAAAGCGAGTAACGGCAACGCAGTACGGGGGAAAAAAAAAAAAAAAAAAAAAAACATTTTTACGTGCAGAGCGCAAAACTGTGTATCGGAAATTCTAAAGATATGCTCATTTTAAAATTATTTTGCGATATTGCTCTTGAACTGAATTTATATTTGATAAAGAACATTATATTTGATAAAGAAAGGTAACACACAAAACGTTAAAAAAACGCCTCTTTGGGCGTAATGTAAAATCTAAAAGCTTTCTTTTTTTTTTTACTTGTTAATTCTGTTGCGGTTTGAATGTTCTTACATGGTGGTTCTCTTTTTAATCCAGTGTTTTCCTCCCTGTGGGTTTTAGCCCTTTTTTCTGCATATATTACGGAAACAGCGTATAAAACGTTAGTAAATTTATTTAAAGATGGGGGGGACCCAAAATGGTTTTCCCCTGAGATAAATTCATATATAAAACCCCTCAAAAAGACCTCTTACAAACTTATCCTTTTCAAGACTTCTTTCTTGAAAAGGATAAGTGAAAAACTTTTTCTTGTATGGTTCGTTTTAAAGTTGCTTATTTTTAATATTTTGTATATCTTTTTGGCTCAATTCTAGAAGATTGGAAAAGCTGACGTTGTGCAATTCTCTGATGTTTTTTTAATGAAAATAGATCGATATGTACATGGGCAAAGCCAATGCAGTGCGCAATGCCGACGTTGTGCGCGATGCCGAGTTTGTGCAATTCTGGGATTTTTTTTAAGTGAAAATAGATCGATGTGCGCATGGGCAAAGCCAATGTCGTGCGCAATGCCGAGTTTGTGCAATTCTGGGATGTTTTTTTAAGTGAAAATAGATCGATGTGTACATGGGAAAAGCCAATGTAGCGCGCAATGCCGAGTTTGTGCAATTCTCTAATGTTTTCTAAGTAAAAATAGATCGACTTGTACATGGACAAAGCCAAGGCAGTGCGCAATGCCCAAGTTTGCATAATTCTCTGATTTTTTTAATCTTATTTAATTGACTTCAAATTGTATAGCAGGCTATTTCTGGTACACTGTTCTATACATAGTGACTGATATCTCTTTAAGAAAATATGTATGCACGGAGATAAATTTTAACAAATGATTCCTTCTCATGAATCAGGCATTTTGCGAGAAATAAACTTCCATGTTTGAATGAAAAAGTTGCAAATTTCTACGAGGCAAAAACTTTAAACCTCTCGCATTTGTTATGAATTACACGTAGCTTTTAAGTTTCTCTACAAATTTCATTTTATTTTAATAAACATAGAAATAGTGGGTTTGAGATAATGTAAAATCCATTTATAGAAGAAATTCTTTATGTGCCATTTTGTTATAAAGAAATATCATAACAAATTGTTTACTTTCTTTATATTAAGTCATTAGACTATTTAACTGTAAGATTACGTCATTTTTTCATCTTGGGCGCCTTGCATGGCGCAGAATGTTCATTAGGCAACCCGTAAACGCTTACTCAGTTTTTTTTT